AGCGCACCAAAGGGGCCTGGGGGGTCATGTAAGTGTCGCTTTGTTTTGGTATTGTTTGTTGATTGTAAAAGCGTTTTTAAGCTAGCACCCCGTCTTTTACGCAAGGGCCACTTTTGTCAGAAACATTGTGTCTTTTGACTTTGAATCCTTCTGAAGCCTCTCCCTGTTGAGAACACCAAAAAAATGGCCTCCTCCAGAGAAGGCGTCTTGGAATCCACCTCTTAAGAGGAATGCCATTCTTAAGAAGCCGCGGGAGATCTTTCCCCGTTTCGGCGGCACGCCAATTTTTCAGCATCCCTCGGCACTCCATCCATTCCTCTTCGGCCACCCCTGGGCGATCCTCCCATTTCTCCTCGCCACTCCTGTCCTTCGTGGCTCCCCATTTCCTGCTTTTCGGCGTTCCTTCCAATCCTCGGCGGCACTCCCATTTCTCCTCAGCACTCCTTCACTCGGCGGCTCTCCCACTTCTCTTCGGCACTTCTCGGCGCTCCTTCAACTCCTCGGCGTCCCTCCCATTTTTCGACGCTCTTCGGCATTCCTTCTGAGGAATTTTTGGAATTTCTGGAATTTCTGGGTTTTCTGGAATTTCTGGAATGTCTGGAATTTTGGAATGTGTGGAATGTCTGGAATTTCAGGAATTTCTGGAACTCAGGAATTTCTGGAATTTCTGGAATTTCTGGATGTTTGGAATGTTTGGAATTTTTTGAATTGCTGGACTGTTTGGAATTTTTGGGATTCCCAGAAATTCCAAACATTCCAGACACTCCACACATTCCAGAATTCCAAAAATTCCAGAAATTCCAGAAATTCCAAACATTCCAAACATCCAGAAATTCCAGAAATTCCAGAAAAATTCCTGAGATCCAGAAATTCCAGAAATCCCAGACATTCCACACATTCCAGAATTCCAGACATTCCAGAAATTCCAGAAAACCCAGAAATTCCAGAAATTCCAGAAATTCCAGAAATTCCAAAAAAAAATCCAGAAATTCCAAAAATTCCCAAAAAAAAAAAATCCAGAAATTCCAGAAATTCCAGAAATTCCTGAGAATAGCGGCCCGCTGGTGGCTCGCACTGCTGTTTTTCCTCCTCTTCCTTTTCCTCCTCGATTTCCTTGTCCTCCAGACATTTATGCATGGCGGGCACTGCTCACGGGCCGCACTTCGCTAATTGCGGCACGGGGTGGTACCAAATTGCTCGCTGGCCACGACGTGCGCAAGCAAACAAGCCGAGCGCAGACAGCGCGCGTCGCACAGTGCCACGTGCCCCCAAACAGGGCTGGACAAATAGCAACCGTGGATGCGACCCTCGCCGCCCCAAGACTTCATCATAACCATCTTCCATGCGCTTCCAATTACCCCAGCCCTGTGCGGCTTCGATTCGAACGGGAAAGCCAGCGAACTTTCCTTCAACTCGAACGGACAACCTGCCAAAACTGTCGCACCTTCCTGTGCGCGGGCGCGCCTGCGCTCTGCCTCCTGTCAAAACAAACCAGCACTACCGTTGTTCATCCGCCATCGTTCCGACGAGCAACGTGTCCTGCCCACACAACTGTTCGTCGTGGGACCTCATCCAACCAATTACGGGCACCGTGCTCCTGGTTGGCCTTGATCGCTGTGCGTGTCGAGCGCAGAAACCAACTGGCACAATCTTCCAAACTCTTCCCGCCACCCCAGCCAATAGCAAACATCGCTTGTTTACAACACCAACAATTATTAACATGTTCCGCTGCGTCCTGTTGATCAAATAATTGCGCATCGAAATCAATGTTTACGGAAACCAAACATATCTGGATACGTCGGCTGGACGACACAAGTAAGTCTACTAAATAGACGCAACCACTGCGATAAGTGATAGCACCGAACATCCAACGCAACCCGACAAACCGCAAATTTCGCACAACTTTCTCAGCTCAGTATCTTGTATGTTGGTCGGGCTGAGAAGCTGGCCCACGTGCGTTGTCGACGCGCTATCAGGCAGCAGTTCGAAATTGCGTCACTGCACCTGTGCCTCAGCAAAGTGTCTGTCCTCTCCTCATGCATATCCTCTCCCAAACCCTGGATTTGCAAATTAAGCCGTCTACCACGTGTTTCGCCTGTGTTTCGCCTGATGAAACGGGCTGGCCACCAGCATCAGGGCATCTGCGAAGCATAATGCTGCTAGTCCGCGTGCTCTGTATGCCTGAACGCCCAGCCGCCGTTGCTGCCACGCGCCTTGTAGCCCACGGGTGAATTGTTCAAAATCTGCGTGAAACAAGCAAAGGGGAAATAGGATTGCTTAGTCTTATTCGACCACGCAGTATGTCAAACGACTTGCTTGTCCTATCGCTCTGAAATTCACACGAGTGCCCTCGGTAAAAACTCCGCAATGCCCTGACATACGTGGAATGCAGATTCTGCCCACGCCGCGCCGCCCATACACAATCACTATTAAAATCATCGAAAAGTTTCTGGGAAACAACCGCTACAAACCATAACGGCGTCTGGAACTCACGGAATATCTCCGACAACAGGGTGGCAACAAAAATATGCCCGTAGCAAGAACATCCCGCTCGACGTGCCGGCTGGACAAATGACTGTTTTGACTGCAGTGTGTTCCTGATTATCACAAGCACTGCGCTGCTGAACAACTTGTACATAATCGGCAATCATGTTATCGGCCAGTATTTGTCGACCTCCGTCGGGTCCTCGTTCTAGAAGGTTAGATCGGAGAAACAACCCAATCAGTGGATGGTCCGACGAAACAGAGGGAGAGAGAAGGAGAGAGAGAGAGAGAACAATTCGCCGGCCCAACGGGCCAGAGGCGTGCTACGATCTCCGGTAACTGCTCAACAATATTTCTAGTTCGCGCGCGCGGGGCGGGCCCTGGGGGTCCCCGGACGAAAAGTACCCTGGCAAGGTCCCGGCAAGGTCCCGGCAGACTCCCGGCAGACTCCCGGCAAAGTCCCGGCAGACTCCCGGCAAGGTCCCTTTTCGGAGCCCAGGAGGGCTCCAAACGGTCCAAGAGAGGCCCGAGAAGCCCTCCAGACGGTCCAAGAGAGCCGGGAGACGCCGAAATATCACTCCCAAACGCCTGCGATGGCCTCAAGACGGCCCAACAGGCCTTCAAGACGCCCCAAGAGGTCCCTAAGCGGCGTCCCAAGAGGGCTCCCACAAGCAAAAATCGTCCCATTCCCTTAGGAAAGCGTGCATTTTTAACATATCCGCCTCTTCGTCTTTCACACCTTTCAAGGCGGTCCAAGAGGCCCCCAAGATCACCCCAAGACGGCCCGAGAGACCCTCTAGACCGCTCAAAGACGGCCCAAGAGCGCTCCAAGAAGGCCCAACAAACCCTCAAGAACTCTTTTTCGGAGCCCAGGAGGGCTCCAAATCGGTCCAAGAGGGGCCCGAGAAGCCCTCCAGACGGTCCAAGAGAGCCGGGAGACGCCGAAATATCACTCCCAAACGCCTACGATGGCCTCAAGACGGCCCAACAAGCCTTCAAGACGCCCCAAGAGGTCCCTAAGAGGTCCCTAAGCGGCGTCCCAAGAGGGCTCCCACAAGCAAAAATCGTCTCATTCCCTTAGGAAAGCGTGTTTTTTTTTACATATCCGCCTCTTCGTCTTTCACACCTTTCAAGGCGGTCCAAGAGGCCCCCAAGATCACCCCAAGACGGTCCGAGAGACCCTCTAGACCGCTCAAAGACGGCCCAAGAGCGCTCCAAGAAGGCCCAAGAAACCCTCAAGAACTCTTTTTCGGAGCCCAGGAGGGCTCCAAATCGGTCCAAGAGAGGCCCGAGAAGCCCTCCAGACGGTCCAAGAGAGCCAGGAGACGCCGAAATATCACCCCCAAGCGCCTACGATGGCCTCAAGACGGCCCAACAGGCCTTCAAGACGCCCCAAGAGGTCCCTAAGCGGCGTCCCAAGAGGGCTCCCGCAAGCAAAAACCGTCTCATTCCATGAGGAAAGCGTGCATTCTTAACATATCCGCCTCTTCGTCTTTCACACCTTTCAAGGCGGTCCAAGAGGCCCCCAAGATCACCCCAAGACGGCCCGAGAGACCCTCAAGACCGCTCAAAGACGGCCCAAGAGCGCTCCAAGAAGGCCCAAGAAACCCTCAAGACGGTCCAAGAGGCCCCAAGACGGCCCCATGATTGAGGTCCACAGGGGCAACCTGAACGGAAATTTTGAGCCTCCCGCCCAAACACGCCCCCGAAATGCCCCTACAAGCCCCCAAGTAGCCCCACGAAGCCCCCAAGAGAGCCCCAAGAGGCCCCCAACAGGCCGCAAGAAAGCCCCAAGAGGCCCCCAAGAGACCCCCAGGAAGCTCCCAGGAGGCCCCCAAGAGGCCAGGCAGACCCCCCCAAGAGACCACCAAGAGGGCCCACCCAGAGCCATCCACGAGGCCTCCCAAAGTTCCCAAGAAGCTCCCACGAAGCTTCCAAGGGCTCCCAAGACCCCCCAAGAACCCGCGATGGCACAATACGGGCCGGCGGAATGAGCGAAGCGATTCAATATACATTGCATAACACAGGGGAAGAGACAGCAGACATAACAATTAGTTAGTGTATTGCGCATCGGGGAAACACGAAAGGGTGAGACTGATATAGAGGGATACCGCGAGAGAGAGAGAGGGAGAGAGAAAAGAGAGAGATGGAGAGGGAGCGCCCACCGACAGCACTGACATAGAGAGATACCAAGAGAGGTAAAAGAGAGAGAGAGGTGGGGCGCCCACCGAGAGCCGCCCACCGAACTCGGCCGGCTACTTTCGCCAAACTCTTGAGGGGGCGCCCACCGAAAGCCGCCCACTGAGAGCAACCGACCGAAATCGGCCGCCTGTTTTCGCCAATCTCTTCTGTGCCCGCCAGGACCCCTTTCAGTGTAAACGCTGATTCGGGATCTTCGAGGCGGGAGTGTCTCCAGTGCTCTGTGACCCCAGCCTCATGGAGAGTCAGAGGCGGGGGTCGGCTCGGGAATGACGCCTCTGACGCAGCAGCGACGGCGGGAACGGCCGCCCTTCCGCAG